ACCACCCTGCTAATAACATGTAGGACCACCTTTAGCCCTCAAAACTGCTAGCACCCGCCGTGGCATTGATTCCACAAGGTGCAGATAGGTAGTCTGAGGTATGTGGTACCAATCGCTCACCAACTGATCCTGAAATTCCCTCACATTGCAAGGGGGTAGCGTGGCAGCACGAATTTGGTTTCCCAAGTAGGACCATAAATGCTCTATTGGATTAAGGTCAGGTGAATTTGGGGGCCAAGACATGGCTTGAAAGTCACTGGAATGTTCCTCGACGATTCGATCCTTATGACATGGTGCATTATCCTGTTGGTAAACACCATCCCCCGCAGGAAAAATTTTTGTCATGAATGGGTGAACCTGGTCTGCAACTATGCTCAAGTAGCTTACAGACGACGGGGATTGTTCTATGAGGATTATGGGTCCTAATGTGCCCCATGAAAACATTTTTCCTAGGCGAGCCCATTGTTATAGATAGAGGGTGGTCATAATGTAATGGCTCTTCGGTGTGTGTGTATATATAAATATTATAATCCGCAAATTCAATCTATCTGTGTGCTGAAATATTGTGCTGAATGCCTATCAGATTAAGCTTAATTTTTACAATAATAATGTCTGCTTGACTGCGTTGAAGTTGCAGACAAATTTGAATTTTCGAAGACAGTGCTACGATTGACTACTGGGCTTGACTTAAAGAATAAATAATTACTAAATAATATGCAATAAAATCCATGTGAAACACGGTTTTGAATTAATAGAGCTACAAGATAGTAAACCTCGGCAATGCTATCCTTAAGATAATTTTTAAAAAAGTCATCTGAAGTTTAAAATGAAAACAATGCGTAATGCTTAACTTAAAAAAATTCATTTTTCATTCACCCCTTCCTTTACATTAAACTTTAAACTGTTTTTTTTTAAATCACGGGTTTCAAATTACACTTTGCACCCGCTGTTCAAACATCATTTTTTCATGTGTGAGGGTTTTATGTACAAAGTTACAAATCTATCTGAACACACCTATTTATATATCTTACATTAGTTTACAAGCAAGTAAGGTACTATGTATCCTTCTCCTGTAATCGAATGAGACCAAACACGAATCAAAAGAGGCAAAATTTCAAAAGTCGAAATGATTTCTTTTTGTATAATATGTATTATTTTTTAATTG